CAACTCATTAGGGTTTAAACCACAATTTTTAGTTTTTAAGAGTTCGGTTTGTTGTCATTAATCAGCCTTGAATCATACTGTTTTCTAATGGTTTGTGGTCTGAGGACAGACAAGTGATTGAAGTAGACAAGAGCTGAAATATTAGATCAAGTTCAAACAAATTTTCATTTGGAAAAATGATTTTCTGATCAAATATATTTTTAACATTATTTTTATTTGACAATTTTCAATCACACAAATTTAAAATTAGTATACTCAGTAATTATGGATTGAATTTTCTGACATGCCTTTCAGAAATAAACTTATGAAGAAAAGTATTGATACTTATTTTTAAATGGGACATACAGTACATCTCAAATTTTTCCGACCTAAATTGAGTAAACACCACAGAAAAAAAAACCAAGTAAGAAATCGCTAAGGAATTTCTGGGATTTATATTTTTTGCGTTTCCATGGAAACAAATTTGACTTAGTTTTTGGTGTAAAATTTTGTTTCCGGATCATCTCTCTCATAAACCATTCAAGACATCCTCATGAAACTTTGTATGAATGTTTAGTAGTTGTGCCTTTTGCTAATATAGAATTACTGGGATTTTTAATAATAAATTTTGTGTTTCCATGGAAACAAATTTGACTTAGATTTTGGTGTTCATTTTGTTTCTGGAGCATATCTCAGAAACTATTCACGATATCTTTATGAAACTTTTTACAAACATCAACCTATTATAGTAGTTGTTCCTTTTTAATAATTTTTGTGTTTCCATGGAAACAAATTTGACTTAGTTTTTGGTGTTCAATTTTGTTTCTGGAGCATATCTCATAAACCATTCAAGATATCTTCACGAAACTTTGTACAAACATCAACATATTAAAGTAGTTGTGCCTTTTGCTAATTTGGAATTTCTTGGATTTAATCACCTTTGTGTCAAATTTTGTTTCCAGAGCATTTCGTATAAACCGTTTATATCTTTTTGAAACTTTGCACACACATCCTTTTACAGTAGTTGTGCCTTTTGCTAATTAGAAATTTGTTGGATTTAATGATTTTTGTGTTTCCAGGAAACAAAATTCTCTGTTGAATGATTTTTGAATTTTGACTTCACATTTGAATTGGGGGGTTGGATGGCTGAATGGTTACCACGTGCGCGCTGTACCATAAAAGTCTGTCATTGAGTCAACTGGCGTGGCTTCGAATCCCCGGTTGTACGTGGCAAGGAGTAGGGTCGCCTGTCCAACTTCGTGGGTTTTCTCTGGGTCCTCCGGTTTCCTCCCACTGCTAAAGACCCCTACGCACAAGCGAATTATTGAAATAAAATTAAACCATATGTTAGTCTCGAAATGACCTAGTTTGTGTCGAGTGGACGTTAAACCCCATTTCTCTCTCTTTCACACATTTGAATTAGTTTTTAATTAATAAAGCACTATGCAACCTGATCCAACTCTACAATTTTTACTAAATTATGAAATAATAAAGTTTGTGTTTAATTATATTAGCACTTTATTACTGTGGAAAAGGATGTTTTCTTAGGGAGGCAGACTGTTTTTATAGAGAATAGCTTGCTTAAGAAGGAACACTTGGCCCCTAAAAGTCTTTTTGGCATATCAGCCGTGGTTTTCCCACCCATCGCCACAACAACAGGAACAACCGTGTACATGTGGTAGGGTGATTCACAGCCTCAAATATTAGTGCACTCGTTGTTCAGCCTGTTTCTGCTCTAATCACAACAACAGTGAATAAGAAAAGTTCAATCACGGGTTCACTCGTGCAGTGCAGGCAGCAAACATTTGCCCAAAATAGACATCCATGTGACAATATAAATTCACTTATTTATCAATATTCATTTGTTACTGTTTTAAAAATACATAGTTATGAACTTGATTAAAACTTGATTTTATTTCTAATTTAGTTGATTGTAACCAATGATGTATGCATTGTAACGGTTCTCGGTGCAGAAAGAGTGTGAAATGCCTTAGTGAGTTTAGAAGTTACGTTATTACTAGCTCTAAATACGCAGAACTATTTGAAACTGGAAAAATAACATGCCATTATAATTTCCTCATACTTTATCCGGCAAGTAGTAATATAAACAGCTGATAAATTGAAATTTATTGAGATTTGAAGGTATCGGCAAATTGTAAAAAAAAAGTCCTAAGCGTTTGCGTATGCGTACAGATGTTAAAAATTCAATCATCTCATATGATAGAGTGTATTTCGTTACCTCTTGACAAGAAAAAAACAAAAAAAACGATTTTTCCTGACTGATGAAGAAATATTCAATCCAGGGATGTAGGCCTAAGTTCAGTGCAAAATGAAAAGGCCAGCTCAATTTTGTGTCATAGGTCACAAGATGTAAACAGGGCTAGTGCTAATCTCAACCCTAACCTTGGACCTAGCTCCAATGCTTACCCTAACCCTAACCTACAATCTGGCCAACAATCACATGTCCTAACCTTATTTACGTCTCAACGACCATGACAAATACATTTAGCCATATTTTTAATGTGACCAAGATCCAAAACTGTTTTGTCATTAAGAGTTAACTGCCTTGATAATGGACCTGATCATATTTTACACCAATTTTTAAAAAATGCCAAAATGATTATATCCTCGAAAATTCAAGCATGGCGAGACTTCGATCGGTGATGAAGTTTTTATTGTCTGTCTTTTGTATATTTTTAAGACTATAGGTCGTCCTCCATATGGTCAATGAATTGATTGCATATGTCAAGCGTAAGAACATTATCCCAAAATTCTTGGCAGTTATCACAGAGGTTTTTTGTTGTCGGGTTCTTTTTGGACACATGGCTCTTTAACATGTTCCGCGACATTTTGATGGGATTCAAGTCGGGGCTTTCGGGTAGAGTACACCACCAGTTAATACCCTTGTCCTCCATATAATTTTTTGCTAATCGGGACGTCTGTTTAGGGTCATTATCCTGTTGAAAACAATGTCCATCTTTAAATCGGTCATTAATAAATGGCAGTAAAGTTGTTTTTTTAACACTGTCCATTATTCCATCGAATATTAAAAGTTGACTTTTTCCTTTGCGACTAATACCTCCCCCACAAGTGAACTTTATATGGATGTTTAGGGCGACACTGTTGTGGTGCACTGTGATCTTTTTTTTTTTCTATAAGCCACTGTTTTATTATCGTGTAGCTGTATTGAACTCTCATTGATCTCAATTAAATTTTGACTGAATCGGTCACGCTTTTCTTTATCAGTTGACAATATCAGGGTTCTGTTGATGTAAGACTGTCAAAATCTATTGCTCGTCTGACTGTGCGAATGGAGATGTTTGTGCCGTGTGTTGCAAGTGTTTTATGGATGTCCCTGGCAGACTGCTGGGTTCTATCGGAATTCTTTATCAATATGTGCTATGTCTTCCGAACACAAGTTGTTAATGTGATGGATTCTTTCCGTTAATACACCCTCGTTGTCAAAACGTCCTTCAATATATGCACCTTGTGGTTACCATATATTTTATCCCAGATAAAGACACATTCACATTAGATTGCTTAAGGTATCTATGGATAACAGAACACTTCCAATCTTTCTTGTGGAGTTCAACAATTTTTAATTATCCAAGAGCTATATACGAATGTGACACTACAGTCAATTAGAAACTAACTTTGACTTCACATTGTATATAAAACTCCAAGGATCAATTGACTCTGGAACACTTTGTTGGTAGACTATGTTTTTATAGTGTGCAGGGTGTTTCGTACTTAGTTTATTCGTACCTCACTTCGTACCTCAAACTGATTCGTCCCTATTCCTATATGTTGTTGAAATAAATTGAAATAAAGGTGAACATAATTTTAAAATGAATTGATATAATCCAACTGCTATCCGAAATTGATAAAAATGGCTGCCAAACCAGAATTAGAACACACAGGTGATTTGTATCCAAAATTGATTCATACCTTTTCCTATATGTTGTTGAAATAAGTTGAAAGAAATTGAAATAACGGTGAAACGTAATTAAACGATTTGATCAAATTTTTAAAAATGGCTGCCGAAATTGATTTGTATGTTATCTGGTGATTTGGTGTTGAATATTGAACCTATTATGTATTTTTAGATTAGGTCTACTGGTAAATAATACCAGCAATATTTCCATATTGTAGAAAATTCCATTTTGTCTTTAATATTACCTCAGAGGTATTTAGTTCAGTTGTTGGTAGAACACTTTTATAAAAACAATTATTTCCTTGCTGTGGTCAAATGAAAGAAAAATGATTTCGGTTTAGAATTGAGGATTGTGGTCTAAGGGCAGACAACTCATTAGGGGTTAGACCACAGTTTTAAGATTTGCATTAAATCTATTCAAGTCTGAAAAATTTGTTGCCCTAAATCAGCCTTGAATCATGTTCTTTGTCTTGCCTTTTGAAGAAAGAAGACTATTAAGATGGGTCTGTCTGCCTGGACCCTGATAGCATCCTAATCTTCCCTGGCTGGAAAAGGTTGATTTTATCCTAGGCTGTCCTGGCTTTAAAAATAATGGTGATAGTATCATAAACTGCCTGGCTTGAAATAACAGTAATAGTCTATTATGCTACACTGGTTGAAATAATCGTCACAGCATCATAAGCTGTCCTGGGTAAATGCAATCCTGAAATAATCCTAATCTGCCCTGGCTTGAAACAATCCAAGAGGCACCATAAGCAACAGCTTGAAAAAAAAAAACTTATCAGATATGGAGCTGACCTGGCTTATTATGATTTAGATATTATCTCAAGCTGGCATGATTTACATAAATTGGGATAGTATTTTAAATTTTAGCTGCACTGGATTGAAACAGTTCTGATAGAATTTAAACTCTCATAATTGAACACATTTGTGAAAGTATCCCAAGCTGTCCAGACTTGCAAACAATACTCATAATATTATTATAATTTTTACAATGCTTTTTATTAACTGTAACATAAATAAATTGTTGTAGTTAGATTATTATCTAGAACAATGTTTTGATGGGTTTTTTTAATTTATTTTTCAGAGCTTTTACAGAGATGGATTATCCTCTGGATAGATGAAATGAAATGGGGTTAATGTCCTACTGTTCTTCTCCTGTTTAGAATCCAACTCTTCATGAATATGGCATTTAAAAATATCCAGGTGTGTTACAGTGATAGTAAGTATAAATAAAATAAAACCAAGTACGAACAATCCAAACCATTAGACAAAATTCAAAGTCCTAAAAAAACAATATAGGCAAAATGGTGTAATAAAGCAAAATAGTGTAATCAGCATATGGACTGTTCACCGTGTACAAAATACACGACAAACAGTGGTAACAGGTGTCCGGAAGAGTAAGCTTACCCTGCCTGGCGCCACACCCGCCATAGCTGCATCCAAACTATTAGGCGAAATCTTGGTAAAATAGCGTGATTGGCCAATGGACTATCGATATGCAAAATGCACGTGATGAACAGTGTTAACGATGTAGTAGACAGACATTATCAGGGAGATAGTATACGCGTCAATTAAATATATCTAGAATAATAGCCGAGAGAGACATGTTATATTTACCAATCAAGTCAATATGACGGCCATAAAACTTTTTAAAGGTTTTAATAAGTTTAGTTCGCAAGTATCCCTGTAGTTGAAGCTGAGATGACAAATGCCTCGATCTACTTAAAAAATCAGAATAAAATGAACAAACTCTCGCGTAACGAATTAGTTGAGACACAAACACTCCATAAGCTGGTGATATCGGAATGTTACTACTAATAAATGGAAAGTTAACAATCGGAAAGTCAAAGTCATCACATTAGTGTTTCTCTTTTATTTTTGTAGAAAAGTATAAACCTACCATTGTGTGCTTGGGGTATCTTAAATTGAGATCTGTGGTCTAAAGACAGACAACCCTTTGGATGAGGCGATTTTTGATCATTTGGATAAAGTTTTAAAATATTAATGCAAAATGTTGGTTCTGACATTCTTGTCAAATATGATTAATATAAAAATTTCATTAGAATGAAAGATCTAGTAGGAGAAGGATTGTTGTGATTTTCATTTTAAAAATATTATAATTTGAAGAAATTAGTGAAACTTAATTGATATAGGAATAGTTTAGTGTAAAAACAGACAATTACTTTTGTAAAACTAGGATTTAATGGCTTGGAAAAATAAGATAAATGATTGCTCTGCTATTCTAAAGAATAATTAATTTGAACAATTTTAGTTTTTGGAGCATCACAAAGCCTTTGACTGACGAATTCCTTTTTTATGAGGGGAATGTCTGCTCTGATTGTGCTTTTTAGAGATTTTAATGAATCTTTTTATGGTATATATTGGGGAAAAGTCATCTCAGTTTAGTGTTGATGAGCGTGGTCTAAGGACAGACAACTCTTTGGTAAAGATTCGTATTTTAATGTTTAAATAAGCTTGATAAAAAAACTTGTGTCAGGTGAGAGTGTGACTATGAATTGTATAGCTTAAACAAAGATAACTTTTAAGAAAATTAAAATATACCAAACTATATTTATTTTTATTGTCCCCCCCCACCCTTTGAAGAAAGCAGGGGACTACTAAAATGGGTCTGTCACAATTTTTGGGACAAAAAAAAACTCTCCTAATTGAGCTAGAATGTTCAAACTTGGTGTAGGTGTTCATTAGGTCAATGCCATAGTGGGGTTTGAAGCTGGGGATCACGTGGGTAAGACGCTGGCTCGCTAGCCTGGAGGTCGGGTGTTCGATCCCTGCATTGGCCGAGAAAGTTCATCCAGATTTTCCGGCATGGTTCCCCCTTGTCAGTGATGCAGGATGGAGGGCCTGACAATGACAGCTGTCTATTCCTTTGGGTGAGATGGAAAAGCGAGGTCCCGTGTATATATTGGAATGCACGTAAAAGATCCCCTGGCAGTTGGAATTCAATATAAGAGTAGGCGATAGTGCCGCTGCCTGGGCAAAATTTCCTTCATAGCACACTGTATGGCGTATGCCCGTCTTCATTAGCCCAGTATAGGAGCAGAACAGTAGGACGTTAAACCCCATTTCATTTTATTTCATTTTAGGGTTTGAGGCTCAGCATTTTCTGCTTAGGGTAAGCCGAGATAAGCAATTTGATTGGTTGATGCTTTGGGACACCTGATAACTTTGGTTCTAATTAAGTGTGTCAAAGTTCTAATAAAGTGAGAGTGATGAAACTTAATGAAAAGTTTCACCAAATCAATACCTTGACTAAGTTCGATAATGAGAATTTTCTGCTTAGGCTAAGTAGCGATAAATAATTTGATTGGTCAAGACATTGGAATATAACAAGCTTCATTATGTCAACATATCCTTTCTATAAGTATAAAATGATCATGAATGTCAATGTTACCTGCCACAGGTAAATTTCAATGCAGATGCTCATTAGTGAAAGTCTTGATTGAGTTAAATGATTAACATTTCCTGCTAAAGCTAAGCAGAGCTAAGCAATTTAATTGGTCGATGTGTTGGGACAAGATAACTGATATAGAGTGATGAAACTTAGTTTATAGTTTCACTCACTACCAGGTACTTCAAAACCTTGACTGACTTTGATCATGAACATTTTATGCTTAAACAAAGTATAGATAATCAATTTGATTGCTCAGTACTTTTGAAAAAGATAAGTGTGCAATTAATTAATATGTGTCATCTATTTATTTTGGGATTTCAGCAGCTATGATTTAAAATATAGTAATTATTAAGCACGTTTTTTTATCTCTTATTTTTTTTTTTTTTTTTTTTTGTGACAGCCACCATCCACATCAACTTCGTCATGAGAACTGAATTTATTTGTGTTGTCCTGTATATATTCATTTATGTTTGTAATAAAATGTTAAATCTCAGAATTTTGATTTATTGTAATAATTTGCTTAATAAGGATGTGTCAATGGGCTAAGAAAAGATATCCCCATATTGCATGCCTGTCTAGATTCAGAATTCACCCATTTAGCATTCAAATTTGCCTTGGAAGAATTGGCACATTTTACCACAAAATCTATGACCACAGACCCATGTCTACTCTGGTTCTTGCTGGTCATTCTGAACATCTATCAAAAAATGCCAGGATTCAAACCTAAAATCTCAACTACTTTAGTTCTATTGCTGGGGTTATTTTATGCTGAATTTATATTCAATAAAATAGAATATAAAGTCAATTTTCACAGTGTCCCATTCTCACAACATGAACACCAGTCAAGTTTTCCAGTCGTGGTGACAGGCAAAAATGTCCGGTTATCACTAACATGCAACCCTGACGGCTTATTGTCTGCCAGCTTGACTTAGGGAGCGGTTATTTCTTGATCAAATGGTTAGGTGGTTTTGGGAACATTGAGGGGTTTAAACAGACACTGCAATTAAATGGCGGAAAAAGAAGTTTGCAGAAGATAATCTAAGAATTAATTTATGGCAAATGGGCAGTAAGTAATGATAAATACATTCTGAAAATGGGCCCTCCCTCAATCAAGTTAAATAACCAACATGACTTCTAAAAATAGATTTTTATAAGCCCACATTTTCATGTGAACATGTTATGCCGACGCCCCTGTCTGTCCTTCCACAATTTGTTTGTGCCACTCAACAAGTCACAATTTTTAACTGATCTTGACGAAACATGAAGTATAGGTCTATCGCCCAAAGATCTCAGTTTCTTTCGAAATTGGCATGTATGATTGTACAAAAAAATCATGTATGGACACTCTAGGTCACAATTTTCATCCGAATTTAATGAAACTTAATATGCATGTTCATAACCCAAAGATTTTGGTTTCTTCCGATATTTGCGCATATTGGATCGGAACTTCCCGAATTATGGTCCCTGATTGTACAGAAAATTGCGTTTTTAGCTTGTGGTTCAGAGCTCTAGAGGTCACAATTATTATCCGATTTAAAAAAAAAAAGTTTGAATATATCACCATTACGTCGGTCAAGTTCGAATTTCGTGAAAAATCGGACCAAAATGGCCGCTCTTTATACGCAGATAGTGTAAAAATATGGTATACGAAGCTTGTGGACCCTCTTAGATGTCATAATTTTTATCTTATTTTGATGAAACTTAACATATATCTTTATATCTCCAAGATCTCAGTTCCAATCGCTTTTGTTTTTAGCTTGTTCTCTATCCATCTCTTGCAAAATGTGGGCATATTTTGCCTGGCAACCGCTGGTTTTATATCTTGGGGTATTTCCTCTGAATACAATGTTTTGAGAGGAATTTAAATCAATATTTGATATATTAGTTTGAATATGTTTTTAGTCCAAATATATCATCAAATCACCCAGTTTGTACATGGAAAGGCATCTTTAATATTAGTTTTAAATCTTTTAATTCAGTTGATGAAAAAAAAACTTTTTGATAAAGAAGTCAATCAACTTTGTCAGTCATACATTTGTGAGAATTGGACCAGTTCCTAGAAAAAGTCAATTATAGTATTTCTTGAATTTGCTTGGTTTTATTGAAACTGGGTTCTTCTGAAACAGAAATTGGTTATAGTCTAAATTAAAAACATCTTTTTAAAAAAGAATATTTTATTAACAATATAGGATTTCCAACTATTAATAATATCCTTAAACATAACAATATGCAATTTGTATCCCATTCAGGAACAGCAAAGATAGTTTATAATGACAAGATTAGAGTGCTGAATTGCATTTCAATATTAAGATGATTTTGTACCATTGAATACGATATTTAAACATGCAACAGTACTTTCACAGATAAATTAAATATTAAAACATATTCAAAAGGGGCCCCCAATTTCCTGAATAAATATACCCTAAGTATTCATGCAAAGAAAATGATCACAATCTATGCCAGGGCCTATTTTTTGTGCTTTGAAAAAATGTTATGTAGCCTTGTGAATCTGAGAAGACTGTGGAAAGTGAGCTATCATTCTGATCATCGGCCACTTTCGATTTCTGTTTAAAGTTTTGTGATGTTGACGTATTCCCACGAAAATTACATGGCAGAACATCATCAGGCGCAGGGGACATTGAAGGCCGATTGCCTTTGTATCCTTGGACTGATAAAAATACTGCTAAACAGTTATAAATATTTTAATTCTGTAATATTTTGGTTATAAAAGTGTAAGCGTGGTAGGGAAATCAAATTCTGGAAATTTTCACAGAACCCCAAAACACCCGAAACCGTGCTTCGCCAAAAAAAACTTACAATAGGCCCTGATCTGTGCAGTACTGAAGAAATCTGTTTACTCCATTTCATCTCGGTCTAAACAACCAAAAAATAAAACGTTTGTAAAATTTTAATTTGACTACTTACAGGAATTGAATTAATTGAGAGATAGCTTATTTCATGAAATCAAATAACAGTTGATCATGTCTGTAGTATCAAGATAATTCAAGTAACTGTTGATCAAGGAAGATACATTTTCATAACATCAAAGGCTCTACAAATCTGATTTAATCATTTTCTATTGCATGCATATGACAAACTGTATTTACAGGATGAACAATATATAACTAAATGAAATATACACAAGGTGAAACCATTATATGAATTTCATAAATTCAAATAATACTATTTGACATGATTTTGATTTAATAGGACAGATATGTGACATATATGTACACTACAAAAGGCAACATTAATTTCATCATCTATGTATTTCCAATAATATCACTTAATAATTTTTTACAATCCTCTTCTCATATTTAACTTATCAAATTTGTGTAGCCGCAAAAATTCCACCGTCTCTCAATTGAAGCACCAACACCGTGAACTATTTGTTTAAAGAGCATAGGAAATCTCTCTAACAGATCCTCTACTTCTCTAGGCCGCATATTCTCAAGCTGATTAAGATATGACCATAAATAATCTACTGTGGCCCCAAATGGATGAACATGTAAAAAGCAGCAAATAAGACCTGAGGAAAGAAAACATTATGATTAATAAATTAGAAACCAGATGGATGTCATTTCTTGCAATCTCATCACATGTATTTACTCTAGTGTAGATTTGCTGCATCCCCAAATGTAACAACCTACAGTGTACATATACAAATTAGTTCTGAACAAGTAAAAGCAGAAATTGCCAAGATATTTTTTTAGAGAGATGTTTTTGAATCTCACGATTAGATCATGGTGAATTTATTGCCATTGCTGAATAGAAATACAAGAACCCTTTGACAAACAATATAATTAGGGTGTAATCTTATAGATTATTAGGGTGATTTACAAATTAATCTTGCACCAAGATTACGCTTGATCAAGGGCCATACATTTTTATGCAGTTTTAAATTCTGTTCATATTCCTTGCAAGAATAAACAAAACTTGTGTAATTCACAAACAATTTCACATTGTATATTATATTTTTTCTATAATTACAATAAGAGTAGTAGTTATTAATTATGGTACCTAGTAATTTAGCTTCTTTAGGATTGAGATTAATACCAGAACTTGTAACTTCTCCAGTTTCTGTACCTAATTTTAAAACGGGTATAATCTCTAGCGACAATTCCTTATCCATGACCTGAAATCAATGTGAAAATGCCTCTGATGAATTGTAGTGGAGTATAAAGAAATCTATGTTACCTATCTCTGTATAGTAACTCTGAGTTACTAGAAATAGACATTAAGCTTGCAGGGGAAGGTTGAGTCTATGACTACACTCTTATCATCAAAAGCTAGTTAACAATAAGGGCAGGGGGACTGCGCCACACACAAATATACAAGACAAATCAACGGACAAGACACGATCACAAACAACAAACGTATATATCGGATCAAGTGAATGGATCCGAGGGCTAGCCGTAAGCATCCACTGTGCTGTACAGTCTCGGGCCTGTAGTGATACAGACTTCACTCTAAATGGAAATCGAACCAACAATAAGGAAATATTTCCCAAACGTTGTATATTACTAGTGTGAGTCATGAACGGCTATGTGCTAAATGAAATATAAATGAGGCACATTGAAGGAAAATAATTTTACAAGTAAGCATTTACCTGAAATTTAGTAAAAAGCCAAGTAAAATATTAAATAGCGGCGTATGTAGTAGTAAAAAAATAGGGATCAAACCATTATAAACGTGCTAAAGAATTCAAGTGTATTAATTACAATGTTAGGGCATAAGCCCAATTTCTATAAAACAGTGAAAAACAAAAACTGAATAAAAGAAGCAATCGCAAAAAATACATTCCCCATCTTAATTACAGAAGCTTAACAACATTCATGACACATTCAGTTACTAGCTTACTGCTGCTTAAACAACAATATTTACGACAAATGCAGATTTTAATCCACAATTATATTTGCAGGTCTAACCTTAATGCGATGCGTAAAATTGGTTTTAATAGGATTCTTTATTGATACTTAAAAGAACTGGTGAGAGAGAGAGAGAAATGGGGTTTAACGTCCACTCGACACAAACTAGGTCATTTCGGGACTAACATATGGTTTAATTTTATTTACATAATTCGCTTGCGCGTAGGGGTCTTTAGCAGTGGGAGGACACGGAGAAAACCCACGAGGTTGGACAGGCGACCCTACTCCTTGTCACGTACAACCGGGGATTCGAAACCACGCCAGTCGACTCAATGACAGACTTTATGATACAGCGCGCGCACGCTAACCATTCAGCCATCCAACCCCCCAAGAACTGGTGAATAGTACCTGTTGTGATGTTGTACTTTCTGTTTCATCTCTATCTTCTTCAGATTTTATAACAATAACATCATCTTTTTCACTATTCTCTTCATCAACTGTCTTTTTTGATTTTTGAGCAGCTATCAGTTGCTGTTAAAGTAAAGGATATATTTTGAATATATTTCATGAATCAAGACTGTAAACTCTTCAAATCTAATGTTTAATCAAAAATCATTTTCCCCCCAAATAAAGGTGTGGGTGTGCCTGTGTGCTATGGAATTGGGACTATATGTTTCCATTTCATCATTTACAGATTTTGTTATATACTATTCAAAAAAAGTAGGGGATATTTGATTTTTAAGTGTTATTAAAGTCACCTAATGAAACTGACGAAGAAACAAATGACAAAATGAAATGAAGTTCACATTCATCGATTTATTCCAAATGATCATTAGACTAAGTAAGGCACAGACTGACCATTATAAGGGTAAAATGATACCCGGGGTCAAACAGCAAAGTTACCACAGCATCACAACCAAGTCAGTAACGGGTAAATCCTCCTCTGTTTGCCAAACAAGCATTGATCCGACGTGGTATACTCCTAATGAGACGTCTAAGGTCATTTTGGTCCAGATTGTCCCATTCCTGTTGCAACGCAGCAGCAAGTTCTTGGACATTGGCAGGACGTTGTTGACGTTGACGTAACCTCTGTCCAAGCATGTCCCAGACATGCTCGATGGGGGAGAGGTCGGGACTCAGTGCTGGCCAAGGTACTGTGGTGATGTTCTGTTGTTGGAGGTAACCTGTAACGATCCTGGCCCTGTGACACCTTGCGTTGTCATCCTGGAAGATGAAACGGCGGCCATGACGTCGAGCGAACGGCACAACATGGACTGCCAAGATGTTGTCCCGGTAGTACTGGCCCTGCAACAACATGTAAAGCCGTTCTTCCAGCAACAGTGATGCCTCCCCACACCATAACAGAACCACCCCCAAATCGATCATGTCTGATGACGTTAACGTCTTGGAAGCGCTCGTTTCGACGACGCCACACCCTCCTACGTCTGTCCAAAAAATCAACAGTGAACCTTGACTCATCTGAAAACATCACATTGCTCCAGCGTCGATTATCCCAGTGTTGACGATCCCTACACCAACGACGTCTTGCCTGAATGTGATGATCTCTCAAACAAGGGATCACGCGAGGACGTCGGGCGCGAAGGTGACCCCTATGCAGTTGATTCCGAATCGTCTGGCCACTCACTCTCACACCAGTGTCTGTTTGAAGACGAGCGCTGATCTGATTTGCTGTGATGACACGATTTCTCAAGGCCAAGGTACAGATAAATCGATCCTGGGCTTGAGTTGTCGCCCTTGGTCGACTTGAGCGTGGTCTGTCCTGTACAGATTGTGTATCACGGTATCTGGACCATAGCCTGCTTATGACAGACTGAGAAACATTCATCGTCCGCGCCACAACCGCCTGTGTTGTGCCGATCTGTAGCATGCCAAGGGCACGTAACCTTTCATTTTGGGTAGGCCGACGCATATCAAAATTTGTTTTCTGGTCTCTAAAACAATTAAACTGATGTTTCCACTCTGGAATTCAATGCCACAATGACTGTAACATTCAAAGTCAGAGTCGTGCAAATCTTGGGTTGGACCCCCATGATGATCCCAAGCATCACCTGCATTCCATGCGGTAGCTATTGGTGCGTTTGGGCGTCACATGTAACTGGAAATGTTTCTTCTGTTAGGTTCTATAGTGACTTTTTTCGTAGTCATTTGCATATTTTAGTATTATGCCCCCAAAATCAAATATCCCCTACTTTTTTTGAATAGTATATATATCACACAGCATAATATTTTGCATTTGAACAAAATGTGTGATATTTCACTAGCAAATTAAAGTTGTTTATTCAGATTAAATTAACAATATTACTACTGTCTTTACCCCAAAATATATCATACAAAAGACTGGTATTTGTAGTTTTTTTCATTACTATTCTGACCGTGTTTTCAAAGTTTTTATTACTAACTTGTGACAATTCATATATACAGGTCACAATTTTATGGAATACAATTACCGCTTATAACTGAGCAACGTTTCGACTAGGTTTCTCTAATCATTATCAAGCTTGATATAAAATATAACGAGACAATATATACATGTAAAAAACAACACTTGGTTAATGCTGGCCAACCAGAGACAAAGAGAGAGAGAGAAATGGGGTTTAACGTCCACTCGACACAAACTAGGTCATTTCGAGACTAACACATGGTTTAATTTTATTTCAATAATACGCTTGCGCGTAGGGGTCTTTAGCAGTGGGAGGAAACCGGAGGACCCGGAGAAAACCCACGAGGTTGGACCAACCAGAGAAACCCTTATAATTACTTTGAAGCAAACCAAACTTAAGCCTAGTAAAAACCTAAGCAGTAATTGTATTCCATAGAATTGTGACCTGTATATTCCAGTTCAATTACTAAATGCCATTGAAACAATTTTAGTGAATTGTTATTCAATATGGATTGTGCTACCAAGAAAGTTAACTTGGCCAAACTCCCCTGGACATATCCAAATAAATAAATTGTCAGACAAAACTCCAGTGCTGAAAACTGGACAAAAATCCCCTGGAATTCAAGTAAAAAGTGTGAAATGACTTCATCTAAATTATGACTTTGAATAGTGATATCTACACTAATCTTCAGTGATGAAATGCTCGTGATTTTCTACATTTAAAGAAAATGTTTAAGGTATAAATATATAGGAGAAAATTATGGATTTTATTTGAAATTGAAAATTGTTTTCTAATAGTTTGTGCTGTGGTCAGATGTAGAAAAAAACGGTTTCAGTTTAGAATTGAGGATTGTGGTCTAAGGGGAGACAACTCATTAGGGTTAGACCACAGTTTTAAGATTTAAAGAGTTGTATTGAGTCTATTCAAGCTGGGAAAATTTGTTGGCATTATTGTCATTAATCAGCTTTGAATCATACTGTTTAAAGTTTAAAACAAATTTCAATTATGAAATTATTTTTGTGATTTTCTCATAAGATATATATATTTTTAACATTATTAGATTTGACAATCTTGAATCACAAAAATTTGAAAATATACTCTTAAAAAAAAGTAGGGGATATTGAAATGCAAATACCCATGCAGGTTGTGATATGATAAATAGCCATGGACATTGGACATTCTTTGAGAGTATGTTCACAGATGAAGAACATATCGCCCCAACAGAACCACTGAGCTGCACATGCGACATGCAATAGCGCCATACACGTTGGGAGGGGTTCATTGTCAAATTTGACACTTCAAGGAAGGGTTGATGAAAACTGCCGCGTGCTGGTTTATCTATCCATGTTTGCTTTCCTATCGGTTCTTGCATAAGATTTACTGTTTAGCGTATCCTTGTTTTAGTGTGTTACGTTTAATTTGATCGGGAGAAGTGTTCGTCGACGTCAACCCACAACACTGCAAGAGGAGTGGGTCAGATTGCCCCAAACCGTGATTGGACGGTTGATTAGGAGCATGCCACGACAAATTGCTGAATGTCTGAGGATTGGTGGCAATTACTCATTAAAACAAACATCAAAAACGTCCATTTTCACTTTTGACAGTGTATCTCTTTGCGAGTGAAATGGGGCCGTCAGATAAGCCGCTCATATGAACTGTTCATGTTCATGTGTAGGCAATTGGCCTGTTATTAACATACACTGGTTACCTCTAATAAAAACAGCAGTGCATTTCTGCAGTTTTGATGTTTCTGAATATCCCCTACTTTTTTTTGAAGAGTATAGTATAAACATGGTAATTTTCTGACATGCCTGAAATAAACTTACGAAGAAATGTATGGAACTTATTTTTAACAGAGACTTTTTGCAGTGTAAAATCAGACAACTATGTGGATGCCGCTAATAATAAGAGTTTAAATTAGTTTTAAGAATAGGAAATTTTATGACAAACTGCAAAAGATTAGAAAAAAATTGAACCTATTTGAAACCTGAAATCGTTTGTAAGTGTCATATTTGGGTTTAGTCTTGAGGTTTTTAGTGTATACAGCTCTGATAGATTCATTTAGTGTAAATATATTAGATTAAGTGTAGGGGACCACACATAAACAAATACACAAGGCAAACCTATACGGACATGACACAATACACTTCAAACAACAAATGTATACATATCTCAGATCGAGCGAATGCATCCAAGAACTGATCCCTGTAATAATAGGTAATGGAACTAATTCTTTACTGCTCATAGACTACAAATTGCTCAAAGATGCATTATTCAAGACCTAAATCTGCCTAATGCAGATCTTTCGTTTGGCTTCAAGTGTTATATAAATCATTAATTGACATTGGACATTTATTTACATCCCATAACTTTAGATGGTTTTGATTTTCAACAGATTTAAATACGATTGGCAATTAATGGTTTAATTTAAAATGGATAATCAAGACTTTGTTTACTAGTCTAACAACTGTAGCATTGACAATCGAGACTACACTGTTCTACAAACGACGATAACTCTGCTCATAATGAAGTAATTTGACTGAAATTTTCAACTTATTCCCTTTTCATTATCTACTTTTTAACTAACACAAGGTACAATTTTAGGGATACACAATTACTGTGTATCCATAAAATTGTACCTTGTGTTAATATGTTCAATTACTAAATGCCAATCAAAGAAGATACTTTTTAACTATTATAGTGAGAACTGTCAGCTCTTAATTCATAAAATATTTTATTAATGGTGTGGATGTATGTAAACTAGGTAAAGCTTAATATTTCTATTAGTTAAATACCTTTTGTGTCATGATGAAAGAAAAGTAATTTCAGTTTAGGATTGACAACTCATTGAAGGTTAGATCACAGTTTTAAGATTTACAAATTACAGTTGCATTGAGCCTATTTAAGTCGTGATAATTGTGGTTAACTTATTTATAAATTTATAAATTCTATGAGTTTACAGTATGATATTAGTAAGAAAATTATGGAACTTATTTGAAATGGAAAATTATTTTCTAATAGCTTGTAGTCTGAAAAGGCCAAATTATTTCAATTACGGATTGTGTTCTAAGGGCAGACACCTCACTGGAGTTTAGACCACTGTGTTAAGATTTACAGTTGCATTGAGTCTATTCAAGTCAAGATAATTAATTTGTTGTCATTAACCAGCTTTGAGTCTTGAGTATACATTTTAATTTATAAATTCTATGAGTTTACAGTATGATATTAGGAAGAATATTATGGAACTTATTTGAAATGGAAAATTGTTTTCTAATAGCTTGTAGTCTGAAAAGGACAAATTATTACAGGTAAGGATTGTGGTCTAAGGGCAGACAATTCATTGGAGTCAGACCACTGTTTTAATGATTCACTGTTGCATTAAATCTATTCAATTCGGGATAATTTGTTGTCGTTAATCAGTTTTGATTCATACTAAGCCAAAGTGTTATATACATTTTAATTCATAGAAATCAATGATGACTGAGAAGTATAGACCAAATGGAATAAAGAAGTTTATTCCATAGTTTTGGGCCAGCAACCTCAAAAGCCTTCTCGCCGAAACTGATGAGATTAGCAAATTGTCACTGGAAGACCGTATTTTTCCACGTGGTTAATAAAAACATAGATAAGTAGGTGCAATGTATACATTTAAAAACTAAAAAAAAATCTTATATTCAATTATAAAAAGCAAGTGCGAAGTAACTAATAAATTTATTAGTGTTTTTGTGGCATGCACTGACGGATATTTACGCATTTTAGCGATGTTTCTTAAATTAAATAAAACTTATTATACATATATTGTTTATGTGATTTTCCAAAAAAAATTTGAATTAAAAATTACACCAATATTGACGTGGGTGGGGTAGTACGATGTGTTCCGTAGATAGGAGTGAGTTGGGATGTTTAGTATATTGGTCAGTTATATAACTTTAATTAAGTTAGGTTTCCTTCAAGGTAATTAGAAGGGGGTCTCTGGTTGGCCAGCATTAACCAAGTGTTGTTTTTTATATGTATATATTGGCTCGTTATATTTTATATCAAGCTTGATAATGACTAGAGAAGCCTAGTCGAATCCTCGCTCAGTAATAAGCAGTAATTGTATTCCATAAAATTGTGACCTGTTTATTCCAGTTACTAAATGCCATTGAAACAATTTATCAGTAATATTCATTTTCAAACTTGGCTGATGGAATTAGTTTTTAAAATTTACACAAATTCTTTGTCGATAAATTTTAAAAGGGGCCATATTTTGAAGCCAGGCTGGAAATATACATTTTATTATTAATTTTCAAGGGTGTGTTTCTCAAATCAGTACTGAATTATCTAAAGGTCACCAAATTTTACTACCTGTTGCATGGCTTGTAGTGCATTTTGTAAGGCTTTGAGTTGTGTGTCTTTGGCATCTAATGCATTCTGAGAATCTTGTTTAATCAAATCTATTTCATTTTTATATCCTTCAAGCTGGCATTTTAATGAATCATTTTCTTCTTTTAAACTGGCCACAACATCAACAGCTGAAAAAACCCCAACCCCAAAACATGTAAAATAATGTAATTAAAACAAACATGGCACAAAAGACAACATATCTATCTAATTTGAAATATGTATGCAGAGAGAGAGAGAGAGAGAGAGAGAGAGAGTTTAACTTCCACTCAACACAAACTAGGTCATTTAGGGACTAACACATGGTTCAATTTTAATTCAATAATTTGCGTAGGGGTCTTAAGCAGTGGGAGGAAACCTAAGGAAACCCACGAGGTTGAACAGACGACCCTACTCTGTCACATGCAGCCAGGGAATCGAAACCACCCCAGTTGACTCAATGACAACACCACAAAATATGTATGCAGGCTTCAGTTATAATGATGTATTGCTTTGATCAACATCTTGTGCTAAACTTGAGGCAGTGGGAATCTGGTGCAAGGCTTTTGTTGACCAATTAAACAGTGGAAGGTCGGCATCCTGAAGCAATGGTTATAAGCATTATCAACTCATTGCTACACTATGGTAAAGTGGTACTTCAAATTAGTTATGTTTCCTAAGGAGGTATCCTAAATAAGACACTGGGCTCATGTTCCCTGTATATGTTACTACAGTATTAGTCCAGTGGAAGTATGAAATTAGTCCTTGTGGGTGTTGTACAAGTTGATATGTTGCCTCTAGATTCAATTCACAATTTCTGTGCAACTGTGTTTTGGATCAAACACCTGTTTTATTAATTTATAGCAAGTTTACCAGCAACTGTTAACTTAGATAAAAACAATCACATTGCTGTCTAAGTGTGACAATTGTTTATAAACTGGTAATGTTTATTATCACTACTTTCACTGTCTGGATGTAAAACAATATTTACCTCCTGTTTCAACACGTTTACGTTTAGATGAGGATGTTTCTATGTCATCATCTTGATCATCAGATAAATCCATTTCATCTTCTTCTCTATCATTCAAAAATTCTTCTTGTTGACTAATTAACATTTCCTGAAATACCAAAAAACAAAACAAATGTTGGGGAATTCATTCTTTGTTGATTTATTTTTTCAACTTTTACCTCATCACATTATAGTAACTGTTTCTGAAAAAGGAATGATAACAAAACCAAAATAACTGGCAATACTTCTAATCCTATTTTTTCATTTTATCTCACAGTGATGTTCATATTTACACTGTATGCAACATTTGATGAGGTAACTTCCAATTTAGTGGTTTTCAAGGCGTTTATCTCTAGAGTTAGAGTTGTATATAAAGATTTAGCTTTGAAAACTTATAAAATACATCAGTTATTTTTATTACCACTGCAAATGATGGATAGTTCATAAAATATCCGATACCATAAACACAAATGAAAATAAGACAATACTTTGATCCTCTACTGAGCCTAGTGAAACAGTCGTTCATTTGTAAACTTTATTACATGTATATTAACTCATATTACCTGTGTGTAACTTCAAATATAACGTATTAATCCATCGATTTTCTCGCTCACATTCTTCTGTCCACAGTCGTCATTATTAATTGTGTACAAGTATGTATTAATGAATTACCTTCAACTCATAATTCTATGCCATTGAGTGATTTTTTATAAATAAAATCTGTCATTCTTGCCTAGTAGGACATACACACACAGTAGTTTCAAAGAAGAAGTGCCAGATTTTAGAAATAAAAAATTGAGTTGATGTGACATGACTGACATCAAATTGGATTAACTTTTAATTCCACAATCTTGAACTTTTTCTTTACTGCAAAAGCACTTTTGGATAATGCACAGCAGTATAGTTTGTAATTACTGCAACATGATTCTTTTACAAACGACATTGACTGTATGCCTAGCCTAGAAAACTTTATGCCTTCATATAAAACTTACCTTGTTCGAAAAAAAATAAAAATTAAACTCTGTATCACTGTACTTTTTGTTCAAGGATTTTAAACATACTTAATTTATATTTGTTTTTATTTATCATCTAAGGGTTACCATATTAATTGTGGCTTCGTCTTATCGCATATATTCCCAAAATTTAGAAAAATTGTCAACCTTTTGGAATTTTTTAAAAATCAATATTGAAGTCTCAAGTTACATCAATGTATGTGTAATGAAGTAAAAAAAAAACTAAAGTTTTAATAATACAAAGATATCCTTGTAAGATACAGTGATCAATTTGTTTCTTATTCATATTTACTAGTGGCACTAGACAAGGTCAAATATACAGAGGTAGGTAGGTGGGTGGGTGAGTGGGTGTTTTAATAGTAGTTTAAATCTGATAAATTTCTAGTAACTTTTTATTATGAATTATAATTTCCTGGATTTGATCTATACTGCACTTCAAAATCGAAAATTTGATCAATTAGGTTCCCTGTACCCGGTTCTACTCTACAACTCCACCCCAGCTCTTGACTGCCAAGGGGTTAACAGTCCTTCACCTTCAACTGATTACAGATACTGACATGACATAAGAAGGGAAAGTCTGCTTTCATATTTAAATAAGTCTTGGCCCTCTGTAATGTACTTATTGGATCTAAACTCAAAGCTATCAGTTCAATATAAATTTTGCATGGAAAAAAAAAATCAACAGTCAAACTCTTAACTTATTGTTTTTGTTTGAAGGTATATGACAGTTTTTCACTCCCTCAAATTTGAAATAGTAGTTCTGAAAAATGCCCTTTGCAAGTTTTAACTAGATTACCAATAGATCTAAAACAACAATTTGTTTCCACACAAAACAAACATACACAAAAATCAGTTTTCAAAATAGGTTTAAAACAATAAGATGTAAAGTTTGACCGTTTCACCTACTTTAGCCTGCTTGTTCCAGAGATCTAAACTCTTGCGCTGTGCCTTGGAAAAATGGTCCCAACATCTCTGTTTAAGTGCGGCCGTGAAGATTTTATCTATCTGATTAACTTGAACCATCAAAACATAACAAATATTATAGTTATTATCAAAAAAATTATAAAAAGATTTACTTACACTGTTGATACTAATATGTATGTATTACTCAAATATTGAAATGCACTATTTTTCCAAAATATTTCTATACTTGAGTGGTAGTGCCTCAGCCAAAGGTTTATCCAAATTGAAGAATGGAGATTTCAACAAAATCTTGAAAGCAACATGTCACAGATTACTTTCAGGATCCATGTTAATGATTTGCTCCAAGTTTTTTTTTGTCTTTTTGATCCATCATAGAGACAATCAGATCATAAAAAAAAGCCAGGTAACATCCCGATACATAATCACATCTTTACGAAATAATAACTATTTTACATCAAACTACAATTAAGGTTTCAGATCATTGATGCACTTTATAGCTTTCAGACCTCCACATGGGGATGATACAAACAACCTTTCACAATCTGAATAGTTTAAGAAGGTCTTAACAATCATTTACGAGATGTGAAGAGAAAGTGTCATCTGTGAACTTTAAGAATATCTTAAAAGCATGTACACTTGCATTCATACATAATCGTAAAAAAATGAAATGAAATGAAATGGGGTTTAATGTCCTACTGTTCTGCTCCGATTGGGCTAATAAAGACAGGCATATGCCATACAGTGTCCTATGAGGAAAATTTTGCCCGGGCAGCGGCACTATGGCTTACTTTTATGTCGAATTCCAACTGCCAAGGGATCTTTTAAGTGCACGCCAATGTAGACATGGGACCTCGGTTTTTCGTCCCATCCGAACGACAAGACTACCAATAACATCTACATGATCATCAAAAATCTGTACACAATCATAAAGATGAACAAGAGTCTAAGGATTACTGAAAATCCATGCAAGATCTGTACACAAGCTTGAGGATCATCAAAAATCTGTACACGTGTGCAAGGATCAACAAAAATCCATGCATAATCATAAAAATCAACAACAATTTGTACATGATCAGTGTATGGGTGTACAGATCAGTAACAGATAGGAAAGAATCCATACATTATCGTAGACATTATAAAGAATCTGTAGATAATTTGTACATGATCAGTGTATGGGTGTACAGATCAGTAACATTTCGGTAAGAATCCATACATTATAGTAAACATTATAAAGAATCTGTACATAATCTTAAAGAGAGAGAGAGAAATGGGGTTTAACGTCCACTTGACACAAACTAGGTCACATGGTTCAATTTTTTTCAATAATTAGCTTGCACATAGGGGTCTTTAGCAGTGGGAGGAAACCAGAGGACCCGGAGAAAAACAAGGTTGTACAGGCAACCCCACACCTTGTCACATACAACCGGGGAATCGGAACCACACCAGTTGACAGACCGTATGATACAGCTCGCACATGCTAACCATTCGGCCACCCCCCACCCCCACACATAATCTTAAAGATCACCAAGACTCCATAGATGATTGTAAAGAACTCCTTGCTATTAGGTCACAGAAAGGTAATATAATGAAACTTTCTTTATCCACATTGATAATTTTATAGATACCTGGCTTTTCTAGAGATCTAACATAAAATACCGATCTTATATTAGACTTAGATACAAACCTTTACCTGTGAAAGTAATAGTTGTTAGATACGAGAGTAAATATAATAATTAACATTTCGATTTTCTTAAAAAAAAAAAAATGAAGATGTTGTTTAGTTAAAATCAGGTTCAGTAATGCAGTTCAGAAATGGATCATGTTCTGATATGGAAAAATATTTCCCTTAAGTTGCCGAATCGCTACTGGGCTCAGTTGTGTGAGTGATGCTGTTCTGTCACTTAGCTAACCGTTTTTTTTTTCCATTATAGTTAAAAATTTATTGTAATTACATATAGCGTTGTCCACAATGTTTTACTGAATTACTCTTGCAGGCACTCACTTAATTTTCAGAACTTTAAATAGTGTGTATATTTATCATGCATTGATCTAAATAAAAATAATGGAACATAGAACTTTTTAAAACTTTAGCTAAAAGGTTTTATATACATTTAAAGGCAACTATAACATTGGTTTAGTGAAAAACAAAATTCACAAAACCATTACCAGTATATCTAATAGAATTGCATGAATAACTGATTTAATAAAATATTAAAATCAATTACATTTGTTTTTAATTCTTAAGGATACTGGGTACCAATATCACTAAATAGATTGTTTATAATCTAAGAAAGGTATCCTATTCTTAAACACAACTCATAAAAACTCATAAACATACAAAGCCAGCATGTTTGGGTTTTTTTAAATTCTTAAGGCTACTGGGTACCAATATCACTAAATATTTTGTTTAAAATCTGAAAAAAGTATCCTATTTTTAAACACAACTTATAAACACTCCTAAACATACAAAGCCAGTATAAACTGTCATAAAAAATTGTTTTTACATACTTGTATGTTTAGGAGTGTTTAGAAGTTGTGTTTAAGAACAAAATTCTTTATTTTGTCTTTATTTAACACATTTCAGAATTTTTCTGCAGGTAAAGTATAGGTTATTAACCTTCTGCAAACATCCAGAAATTTTTTTATTTTTTTTGCTTTGATTTAAGGATTTCTGTTTCTTTTAGTCAAATATTTGTTTTTCAAGTATTTTCCCTTCGTGCACTTTAAAATCAGTGAAATGTTTATTTAATTTGGAGATTTTGATAGTTGCTGTTATAAGTAAATAATATTTGTTCCTTCCGTTCTTTCTGTACAAATATCAATATTAATTCTGGTGGAGGACAGGTATTTTTTTTATAGTTATGTCACGGAGGGCAAATCTTTAAAAATATTAAAGCTTTATTCGCCACAATACATATTTCATGAGAAATTTCTTTTCGACACTGTAAACAGTTCATTTAATAAAACTCCATTGCAAATGATCAATCAATAATTTGATTTGAACATTCCAGAATAAAGTCATTTTCTTGGTGCAAAAAAGTAGGACGTTAAACTCTATTTCATTTCCAGAGTAAAGTTAAATATATTGTTTAGAACCACACTCGATCCATTTCTGTCCAAAGATTAATCATATCAACCAATTTAACCAGTTCTAACTTATGTTATTTATGCTCTTCAAAGATGCTATTATTTTTATTGATTCTGTGCCACCATTTTTTTGTCATAAAAATTAGTAAATCTGGTATATTTTTCCATACAGTTTTCATTTTGTCCATTAATTTTCTAAGAAGATTGTAATAGTTTGAAACAAACTTATCTTATAGACTCTCTGGTTAGTTTCCCTTTAAGATAGATTTAGACTTACCTGATTTCAACTACAAGAACATCTTCATTAATGTTAGCATACATACAAACTGCTTTCAACAAATCAAGACTTTTGATAATTAGTTCTAATTTTAATATATAAAAATTTGCTACTACTTCAGTCACTTAATCATTCTGGACAGAAGTTTTGAAACAAAAGTGACAAAATAAAATTAAAATGTGCTAAATTTTTTGTTTTAGTCTCCAATTAATCAATGTTTATATCTTTTAAAGTTGGTTTAAAGATCAGGTTCTTCAGTTTTTTGGTTTCTGAGAATTTCATCTATGGAAGAAAACATGTTACACTTCCATTTTGATGTTGGGTATTCAAATTTCAATATATTTGTTGCAGGAAGAGTATACACATCATTCATCTGAAGTCATTATTTGATTTGATCTTTGAACTAACTTAACATTTACCGTGGTTCTTTATTAATCCAGACGACTTTCGTTTTTAAAAAAAATTCAACCATTTTGACTTACATTGTTTCAATATTCCTTCGATTTGCTGACGGAAATTTAGCTTAGCTCGTTGTAATTCTTCTTCGAATTGTTGTTTTTCATTGAGAAGTCGTCTAACGTGAGAATTTGATGCCTGGATCATACTGAAGAATGAATTAGCGGTTCTACGAACACAGTCACCTCTTTCAAGCCACGTGATTAGAACCTGGGAGGCTTTCACAAAATTATCATCACCTGCAAAAACAGAAACACAATATAAAACTATATCAAAATATCTGATTACCAGTAACTACTGGGGTTGGGTTTGAAAGAAATTAATCCGATAATAAATTTTCACTTTGACGAAGGACTATAACTATAACGCTATTGATTACACTGATAAAACCTGTATTTTAGCAAGTCCCCTATATCATACTAAGAGATTTCACAATAATGCTATTGGGTCCACTGATACACCCTGTGTTTTAGCGAATCCCCTATATTATACTAAAAGGTTTCACAATAACGCTATTGGGTCCACTGATAAAACCTGTGTTTTAGCGAGTCCCCTAAATCATGAAAAGAAATGAAATGGGGTTTAGCTTCCTACTGTTCTGCTCCGAACTGGGCTAATACAGTGTGCTATGAGATAAATCATATCGAATTCCAACTGTCAAGGGATCTTTACATGCATGTCAATGTGTACATGGGACCTCGGTTTTTCGTCCCATCCGAATGACTAGACTGCTGTCCTTGTCAGGCCTTCCATCTTGCACCACTGACAAGGGGGAACCATGCCGGGAAATCTGGATGAACTGTCTCGGCCAATGCAGGTATCGGACACCCAACCTCCAGGTTAACGAGCCAGCGTCTTACCCACTTAGCCACCGTGACCACCCCTCCCCATATCATACTAAGAGATTCACTATAATGATCTTATGTATCTCGAACCACTTTATAAAAATTATTCTATATACTAGATAAATAATATTATCTAAATAAGAGTCGGATTGGACATGTTCATGTTGCTTTTATTGTTGTTAATATTTGAGGTCCAATCCAATAGAATCTATAATTGCAGTCTATTATATCATTTACACAATTTCATACTACTGCAAGAGCTTGGAAAATACTAAATATAATGATTGAGTTCTTTTAAAAACAATAAAATAATACTTTTAAGCTGTTCTAGGACATTGGTTGATTCATGATCATTAAAATGAATAACAGGTGGTGGACTAGGTGGTCGAAGTCTAGCTTCTTCAATTGACTGGCGATGTCGCATCTCACGTGCCAGAGCACGCTGCTGGCACTCAAATTCATACTGGTCGTCCCTAGCAACAGCATAATCAACATGAATTCTTCCTGTATTTGGTTTATCATCTTTGTTTTCTATCTTCATTCTATAACCTGTACAATAATAAATAATGGAAAAGTTTATGCAATACAAATTTTTATTGAGTACAAAACATTAGTATTTTTTTAATTTTCTTTAGTTGTATGTGTGCGGAAAAACTAAATCCATTTTTTTTCAAATTGGGAAGTCAGATCAGTTCTTAAAGATGTCGTTGGACTGTATTGTGTAGTGTAAATGTTAATACATGTAGCATAATTTCAATAAAACTCTTCTTGAATGTATGAGCTGCTCCCCACAAAACCAGGCTCTTGGTCATTTTTTTTATAAAAATAGAGCTGGCAGCATATTTGAAAAGTCCACAGCCTAAGCTTTCCAAAAATGCAATTCTTTTTAAATTTGTCGTATCATCTGGAGTTGAGTTTGGCTCATTCACAGCAACAAGAAGGCATACAGTTTATGCTTTTCTGACCGCAGTATAAAATGAAGTTGTTCGACTAGCGCCTGGTTTGGTGGGAATGGGTCACATATATCCTACACTTATCTATCAATCAATATGCCCCTGTGTGATGAGATAACACAACATAGTCAGATATAATACCCTCTAAGAAATGGTGAATTTAATATTATTCTTGTTCAAGACTTCCCATCACTCATGTCTACTGCCAAGACCCTTGACAACTACAAATTATAGACATACAAAAACAGCTGTTTTGCTAAACACTAATAGCCCGTTCAGTTGCTTAAGATGAACTGGTAAAAAAAAAACCTGGGGACCATAAACCAGTTTAACTTTGTCATCTGAATGCAAATAACCCAGTTTATCATCTTGGTTCATCTTGGCCATCGGAATGGGTTGGCTTAAAAACCCTGGCTCCAGCTCACTTTGAGCATGGGCAGTCCGCAGTAAGTTACACTCCTGGGAAAATATCGGGGTCAGGCAGTGCCAGTGTTATCGAAAGCGTGCGAGAACCGAACAAAGAATGTGAAGCTACCCATGCCATGTTAACTCTAATCTCCGACCGAAGAGGTCAGAATAGTTAAACTGGTTTGACTTATTAAAAACACTTATATGGATAAACTACTTCTGAATTTATTAACATTCTACGTTTCGATACACATACAGATATCGTTATCAAGCAACGTTATCGAAACGTAGCATGTTAATAAATTCAGAAGTAGTATATCCATATAAGTGTTTTTAATTTGTGAAATCTACCTCTATATGTCTTATAAGGATTATGGTTTGGCTTATAGTACGTTTGAACGCAACACGATCCTGTCTTAAAATCCCTGGTGATTTTGTACTGGTTTAAAAATAAGCGCCTGAACGGTATATAAGTGTAAAGATTAATCTCAATAAAAATATCCCTTCACTAACCTGATATAAATAAAGCTCGATCAGAACTTTCTGACATCTGAAAACGAATGTGAGCAAAGTTCTTTTTACTTAAACGAATACTTGTAATGGGACCACAACTTTCAAAAACTTCTGTAAGAATTTCCTCTGTACTTGTATCTGGTAGCCCTCCAATAAATATCGTTCTACAACCCGGTGGTTTTTCTCTGTGACTACGAGGTGGTGCACCTGCAAATATCAAACCTGAAAATTTACATTTTGCAAATATTTTACCACATTACATTTACTATTAACTTTTAGGAAAGCTAAAGTAGCTATATTCCGAGAATGGACATGAATGAAGGTGTGGCTCTAACCCTTTAAATGAGAATACAGTGATTGGATGACAATTGGACAGATGAAATACATTGCCCTTGTAAAAGACCAGTCTAGATGTCCTTGTGGTATGTCTTATGTTTATCAGTTTGAGATTGTTTGTTATGTTTGGTGCAGAACCCTGCAATTACTACTGAAACACTAAATAAGTAGCACACTTGTGACCAGCTCTGGTTAACGAGTCATATCACAATCTGCCCTTTTATTCTGATCAACACAAACCTGTAGAAAGTGCATCTTTACCGACAGAAATTAATGACTTAATTTTTTTCTATATCTTCAACGCTTAAATGTGTAATGGCCTTTAATCCAAGTGTTTCATTAAGCTGATCACATATTTTATTAAGCAACATTAATATAACATTCAAAACTTGCCTTTGTATTTTCAACAATGCAAACCAATTTATAAATATTTTATTTCTCATCATATCACTTGATATTTACTTTGTAGCAATATTTTTTTTTTTTAAAATGAGCACATGTCACACATGTTCTTCAAAATAATATGGGCTACACAAAAACCACAGACTGATAAACAATATGACATGTGCACTAACAAGACAATCCCACTATCAATACAGTGATATTTTCATCGTGCCACATACGCTCGTAGCTCTAAAAAAAAGTAATTTCCTGACATGATCGCAAGCTATGTTGAGGGTGAGACCATTCATGCCATCACTATCAGAAGTATATCAAATCACGTAAATGTATCTTATGGCCAGTTGTATCCATCCTCTGTAAAATCCTAGATCTGTATGATACAGGTTTCACTAAATATGTATCTTGTAAAATCAAAATCATCGATTAAACAATATGTATATTTATGCCAAGTGCTGCACATTGATGATTATCATTATTTGAGTTGATTTATTGCCAAGAAATAATCAACAGTTTGTGTCAACAGCTAAGAAGTCTTCAACAAATTATCATTGATTGATTAAAGATAGATTCCCTTGAAGCTAAATGGGTCACTTCTGCAAACTATGTAAGTAATAATTTACCAAGAAAAACCTAGGATGTTTATTAAATATGTAACAAATGAAAAAAAAAAGTGTATTTCCGTGTGCCAAACAGTAAAATGGCAGCCGTGAGCATGATCTGTATGCTGTGGTAATTAGTTAAACAATTTATCAAAGTACAAAGCTTTATTAATTGACATCAAATAAAACCCTAACCCTCAGACGTGATTAAGTACGAAGCAGTAGTTCTTTGTGAACTGTTAATTCATGATCACCCTTAGTAGGCGGTGTTGAAATGGAACTATATATTATGTTTCTTGTCGCGGGAGACATGGTGGCTAAGTGGGTAAGACACTGACTCACTAGCCTGGAGGTCGCTGGTTCGCTCCAGGTGTTGGCCAAAATAGTTCATCAGAATTTTCCAGTGTGGCTATCCTTGGTCAATAGTGCAGGATGGAGGACGTTTAGATGGGATGCTGTGTTAAATACAGAGCTATATAACAATAGATTTCGTTGGATGATGCATTCATTTTGCCCCATTTCCACTAAAACTATTAATATAAATCTAAAAGCAAAAGGTATTTCACACACGAAATTATTGGCTTTCACTTGTTGAGCAGCTGCCATGTTTTTGCATACCTAATGAAGTTATTTTACGAATGCGTTATTTAAACATACATTATGCAAGAGCTAAATCTGTCTATTGCAGGTCTTTCTTTAGGTCGGAAATGTTATATAAACTATTTATTAGACATTAATTAATTTATCCAAACCATAATCAACTCTCGACGGCATCAGATACTCCAGATTTTAAGTAGATTAGAACGATTCGCCATTTAAAAATTTAATTTAAAAATGGAAAAGCGAGGCTAAGTCTCGAATATACCAGAACCCTGGTTACCACTATGTACACATCTTGTCAAAACTACAAACAGTGATAATTTGGCTCAGAATGAAGTAATTTGAATGTAATTTTTAATATTTTCTTTTTCTATTATCTATTTTTGAATTAATATAGCAAGAATGACCAACTCTTTATTAAACTCTTAACTAATGTATCTTTAATTAGTCACTCGCTAAGGTCAATGGTTGAAGTCTCCAATCAGAAGACTGGTCAGGTCAATAGGCATGTGCACTCAGCTGATGCTACAGATATCCATACTCCTCGGTTTATCACTAATATTATTGATCACTACGTCATTGTTTGTCAATATTTTTGAAGATTTTCAAATAAAATTGCTTTAAAAGTTTAGATCATAGATAAGTTCGACAGACACCCATAATACACAAAATAATAGTAATACTATTAATAAGTTCTGTTGTTTTGAATAAAATTTATGTCAGTCAAATAAAATAAGCCAAATATTGTATATTTTATAATACATTGTAGATAAGAATATAGAATATACATATATATATATTTATGAAAAGTCATTTTATTAAAATAAAATAAATGAATTGAACAGATCTGCTTAAGTTGTTCTACTGAAATACATAAAGCTATAATTGCATTTTTCTTTTAAGTCATATGTTTAAAATATGTTAAAATAAAGCCTTAAAATACATTGCATCTATACACACAGTCCTACCATGTTAAAGATTAATCCTAAATCCTATAATTCACTTGTGTCAGATGAGAAATTGGCACATATATCACTTTCTTTTTAATTCAAACGTTACTTTTATGGTGTTATCATCACGTGTGTATTTCGAAAAGTCTCACTCAATCAGGCATCATTATCCTTATCTGTTTAAAGATACATTATGGGAGATTTTAATAGAGAGTTGGCCATTCTTGCTCTAACAGTTCAAAAATAAATGAATATATTAGAAATAATTATGTTTTGACTTTCTTAGAAAATATACAATTATCACTTTAAACTTGGTTGTCGATTTCTCAAATCAGTTTTATTCTACAGTTAACAATTTGAAACTTGGAATAACTTCCTATATACATGTATTGAGAATTTTATTGAAATCTGTAAAATAGTTGCTGATATAATGCACCAAGAAAAAACGTTAATGTTGAATATTGTGTGCCAATTTGTTGTTGAATCAAAAAGTTAATTTAATTCTTTTCTTAATTAATATAGTAGGGAATATTGGTCAAACCAACTGTTATTTGGTGATGGAATTTAAGTTTTTGAAAGTATTATAGACAACTTTTGAATTTTACCTCATTATCTCATTCTTTCAAATGATAAATTTGGCATGGAATACCTGGGAATATGAATTAACCTCATTTCGGGGTAGAGTAAGAATGAAAATGGTGGTTTGTGTTGGTTTGTACACTTTGTGTTGTGTTTGCCTCACAACCATATTGGAGTGTACCGAGGGTAGTGACACAATTCAACACCGCCTTATGGTTTTGTGGGTATTTCATTTAAAATGTACACTATTCCCTTCCGGTTTGGAGTTTCTCCACTGACTAAAATTCACCCCGATAGATTTAACATTTCTCCCTTTGGAGTCAAATGATACTCATATATCCAATAGCAAATACAGCCATCACAGACTTCAGATAGCTCAGCTTATCAGCAAGAATTCAAATTTAAAATTAACTTTGAGTGTCTGGGTAACTGAGAGAGGGGGCTGGATTTTCAAGAGTAGCCATTATTGTATTACTACCTGGTGGTGGTGGATATAAACTACAACTTTTTAATGTGATTATCTCTCGTGGAATATGACTCTGCATGTTGGGATCCATTCCTGGTCCAACAGGTCCCATAAATCCTCCAAACTATAATAAAGACAAAAATAACATTGTACTAATATGTACTGTTTATTTATATTTGAAAGAAGGTTTCTTTCAATAAATTATTTCCTGTAATGATATAAAATGTCGGCCTATCTACAACCAACTTGTATGCTAACTGTGTTTTTTTTACCCTCCTTTATTTACTTGTGCAGGGGGAGTTGGTTTGGCAGTGCTTTTCAAAGGCAAACAAAAGATTGGTTTTTCTCATAACAAAAAGACAGATGTAGAGAAATAATTAATAAAAAGTTGTCTAGTGTTTATTGATTTCTACTAATAAAACAACATTGTATTTTAATCTGAATATAGGCCTAAATATTATCTTATTCAGATGTACATACTAAAAAAACAATATTATAATTTATATCTAAATATTTGAAATGTGAACATAAACCTAAAAATTCCTTTGTTAGTTTTTTTATTGACTATCAGTACAAGTAGATATTGTTGAAAATACATTTTTGGGGGGGTTATTTTAATGGTCTCAACTACAAAACACTTTCATCCCTTTTTTTATTTCTAAATAAGGGAAATATTTTTTTGTTTTGTTTTTATGTGCCTATAAATCATTTGAAACTATTTGGGGTGTGTGAGAATGTGAATTTTTTGACCTGTCAATGAAAGAGTTGCTATTAACAATGAAAGTTATTACCTGATTAACTCCCATCATCGGTCCCATCATCATCATGTTTGGATCAGGACCCATCATAGGTGTAGGAAATCCTAAACCAGGGAATCCCATTGGCATCATCCCACCACCTAACATAGGATTTTCTTGATTAGTAGTACTGCTAGGTGTCTCCTCTAAAAAAAAAAAAAAAATTTAAAAATATGGGAGTTAATTATGTTGTAGGCCCCTTAGTTTAGATATTGCATGAAACATAAAAAAAAATTAATACTAATTTAGAAAATCTTCTCCTAATATTGGCTAAGTCCAGATTATATGGCCTACATTCATAGTATCATAAAAACACCAGCAATAACTCTGATGTTTTAACATCATATTAAATTTTGATTTTAAAAGCTTCTCTGTTTTGATCAACTACAAAGTGCATGCAATTTTGGAGTCAATGTACTGGTAATAATTCTGTAATAAATTATTACAACCTCGAATTTCCTTTGTCAATTCAAATAAAAAATCTAGCCTTAAAATATTTAATTTTCTCTCTTACAAATGTATGACAGCAAACACTCTCTGTAGAATGTGCACATGTACCCCCGTCTCCTCCCACCTAAGAAAACAAAAACTTGAAAACATACCTTTTCTGTCATCTGGTGTATTCATGGAGATTAGTGGTTTACCTTTGTTATTATTAAACATTAATGGCATATTATTCATGGCTGGATTCAACTGTTGCTGTATGCCAATGTTACGCAGGGAACTGTTCATACCTGAAAATAGTATTTTACAAATAATGTATACTCGTTTAAAACAAACATACATGTATGGCATTACATTATTTTCAGGTCTCAAAATTGACAATAATCTAAGAATCTTTACTGCAGCCGTCTTTACCTCTGCATCCTTGAAGATTTTTCTTGAAAACTGATTGCCAAATTTTTCATAATTTCTAAAAAATTCAATAATACTCTGATTCTCTGGAAGAAAAGTCGTAGGATTTAATTGAATTATTCCTGCAGATTGCCTTCTGAATAATCTGACCGAAATGTTATGACTTACCATAAGTATTGGGAAGTCTTTAATTATCAAATTTGTTGACAGTCAAAATCTGTCTTTGTCTCATGGATATAAACATTGTGTATCAATTGTATGATAGCTTTAGCAGCTAGAGCATCCATCATCTGATTTTTCAAAGTGATCAAGGGACATAACCCTGCATGTAATTATGGGAAATGTCTGTGTATAATTGCATGTCAATCAGATGATAAAGAAGAGTAGATGGATGGACCAACAGACAGGAATTAAAACAATCTACATCTGCATTTTAATATAGATGTAAAAAAAACTTGAATAGGTATTTTGTTCAAACGGGGTCTAGCTCAACAGATAAACAGACTAGTAATGAACAGAAGAGACAACATCTAAGCCCAATTGGCTAGAAATTAATTTGAAATTAATAAAGTTTGAAATGTCTTTCAATCATAATTTAGTGTCCACATCTACATACATAGAGATAGATGTACATGTACATGACTTTCCAACAAATGTCTGATTATCCAGTGAATGCACATAAGTTTACTACGTACAATGTACATACCTGCATGAAAGACAAAGAAGTCCATCTAGATTGCAAAAAGAAATACAACTGAATAAATGTCTATGGATTGTGAACTTAAGTAATTTTCAGAAAAATTTGAGGGAAAACAAAGCAATTTCAAGAATTAGATACATTCTTATGTTCTGTGACTTTCGTCCCTTTTAAAAAAAATATCTGAATACCACTTACAAGCTGGGAACATTTACAAATTTTTAAAGAAGCCATATTTAACATGGATAAATAAAGTTTACCTCAAGTTTCAAGAAGAAATCATTAGCCTTTATAGACAAGACGATTTCTACAGCTTGTTTATTTAACAGCTTAGCGGCTGATCTAGACTCATTTCACCATTTAGTGACCAGTGTGATTTTGGAATATTGACAGTAAGATAGAAATAACAACAAACTGAAATATGGATATTGAGACAGTGTGTCAACCAGAATGACGATTGTTAAATGTTCACCTCGGATATAACAAGTTTAGTTCGTCCTGACAAACTTAGCATTCAATAAATCAATCAGTTTGAATTAAAAGACAATTAGATGGGGCCATTTCAGGGCCGTAAGTAGCTCAGAGCAACTAGGGGGAATGGCGGGAAGTTTTCTCAGTGGTACTCTAAAATTGACAGACAATGTATATCTATCTTTTTATGGTCGAAAAATTTTTCATGGGGCGGGGGGCTTCGCCCTGCCTGCGCCCCCTCCCCCTAGTTACGGCCGTGGCCCTTTCTTTTTTTCTTTTCCAAAATGCACTTTCCATTTTTGGGTCCCTCCAAACAGACAATTTCCAGCATATTCCTGTTACAGTGTTAGCAATAGAAAAATACTGGAAGAGCCAAATCTTATCTGATCAATTTTAAATTCATTTCTATGTATCCCATATGTCGACAAGACAGCTTAGATATTCAACTAACATTTGAAATCAGTTTGTTCTTTAATAAACTTTGACGTTGCTGACGATACTAAGGTTGACATGCGACTTGAAAAATGTATTGTCTCTGGGCTTGAGTTGTCATATTTCATCTTCTAGTGCAAATGATGGGATTAAAAAAAAGACATACAATGTCTCTTCGAAATTTGTTTCCAGTCGCCAGTAATCGCATACAGAGCAAGTTTTGATTTTGTGTCAAAGACAGTCTTTGAAAACCAAACAACATTGATCTAAGCGACTAAAATCTTCGTTTTTTTGGCCTTGGCATGTATCTTATATACACACTCAACATCAGGTGATTTTTTTTTATCAGATATTCTTCTTTTTATGTTTGAATTCTAAAAATCGTTCAGAGAGCACTCGACAATCACAGTTCTGCCAAACTTTACATGCCACTATATATTGTCAGTAGAATTAAAATAGAAATCAATAAATATCAACTAGTGGTCAAAATAAAATACAAAACTCCAAATAAATTCTGCAAAATTGAATAACGACAGAATGTTAACTCTCATAATGGAAAGAGGTACTGTACCTAGTGTTCCTTGAAAGGGTAAGCCTATCCTGCCACATGAACTATACCCACAAGTCAAATTTATTGTCATATTATATATACATATCTTGTAACATAGTTTTAAAAAAAGCAAGCATTGATCGATAGTGAACAAATTTTAAACGCTTAAAATAAAACGGTCCCTATTGATTAGATGTAAACGATTTGAAGAATCTGAAAAATTTCATCATCATCAGTAAATCCAAGTTAAGAGGCGTGTTTATGAGAAAACAAATCGGTTTTGATTACCTATCTTGTTTTGTACATGACATAGGTTTCGAGTTGGTATTCGAATCGGTTCTCGTAAACGCGACGAGTTACCTTTCAAGATGGCTGAAGATTGAAGAATTGAGGAAATATGTTAAATTCATTTTTCCCTATTTTGTTCTTGAAGACACCAAAAAAAACCTGAGAAGTTGTACCAGTTGACTGTTCCCAAATACCCTGTATTCTTATTAGGAATGTCCATAATATTAATATGTATATTCTAACGTGAAATTTAAAAGAAAACGAACTAACATGTCATGCATGTCGATGTCGCTTGTCAAGGGCGCCATAATTGAAATCGAATTGTCAATCCGGCAGGCGAGCAAATTGGGCTAATTTTTGCTGTAAACGTGATTAAATGGGATTTGCAAATCGATTAGCCATAATCGGTATCTCGTAAAAACGCCTATGGTAATTCAGTTTAAAACCCATAACACTGTTAATTGGCTTCCAAAAACAACCCAGAATTCTTCAAAAGAAAAACAACAAGTAAAAGGTTGACCGAAGGACTAATTTTGGTCATGATCTACAACTGTGCCATCTAACGAATACACAACAAGTTTTCCCCCATTAATCAACAGTGTGGACAAACATAACACCCTTTAATATAAAACAAACAATTACCACTTAGTGATAAATACGATTTTACAGACAACTATTGTTCTTGATAATAATACATGTAACAATGATGTAATTATATGATACAGATCCACTAACTGCTAAAAATAAAATGACCAAAACCGGTCTTTTAATAAAGTGAGTTGCATTAATTTCTTGGCGCATTAATGACTTAGTTTACTGTATTAGTTATATTAGGACCAAAAACATTAGTATTTGGACCAAAAACAAAATGGTTCCCTTTTACTCAGCATACAGGTTAAAAATAGGCAGTGGAAGTGAATAAATAAAGGCATTGTTTAGTTTCAGGGGCATGTCAATTATAAACAAAATGAATAAACAATAGGTTTAGTACAGTATTGGTAACATGTTTATCTGTAAAGAATCTGGAAGCAATTCATATTGTTCATCTATTGTTTACTATAAAGAATGGGGTGTAAACTACAGCCAAAAGAAATACATTTATTAACAACATTCCATTACTATAATTCTTTGCCAGACAATATCACCCCTCTTTATTTTCAAATTTACAGTCCATTTTAAACATAAGTTCAAATCTTATTAAAACTATGTGTAAATGGAGCCGTATATTGCATTCTTAGGTAAATACATGGGTGAACATTGCAGCAATCCTGACATGCAAAAAGAATTACCCCCAGGATTTACAAGCCTGGCAATCATATAACACAGTCTTTGTAGTAAAAGATATATCTATAGTAATAGAGTTTAATGTCTTATCAACACAATACTTTGGTAATGTTTACACTAACATATTATGCTTATTCTTTTTCCTATGAAATGAAATGAAATGGGGTTTAACGTCCTACTGTTCTGCTCCGAACTGGGCTAATGAAGACGGGCATACGCCATACAGTGTGCTATGAGGGAAATTTTGTCTGGACAGCGGCACTACGGCCTACTCTTTATATCGAATTCTAACTGTCAAGGGATCTTTTACATGTACGTGCACGCCAATGTGTACATGGGACCTCGGTTTTTCATCCCATCCGAACGACTAGACAGCTGTCCTTGTCAGGCCCTCCATCCTGCATCACTGACAAAGGGGAACCACGCCGAAAATGCTAAGGTGCAGAATTTTGTCCGTCTATTCTGCATTGAATTCCAATGTATGGATAAACCATGATTTCTACAGAGCCAATTTCCTGTATTTGCTGTAGTTGAATGCTGCCGCGCAATAAGAATTACCCTCATGATTTTCCAAGTCCATTTCCCACAGAGATAGCATCTGTAGTATGCGTGTATAAAACAGCCATTGTAAATGGGGTTGAACGTCCTATTGTTCTATTCCGACTGGGCTAATGAAGATGGGCATACGCCATACAGTGTGCTACAACACCACAAAAGGGAAATTTTGCCCGGGCAGTGGCACTATGACCTACTCTTATTATATCAAATTCCAACTGCCAAGGGATCTTTTACATGCACGCCAATGTATACACAGGACCTCGTTTTTTTTAATCCAATCCAAATGACTAGACAGCTGTCCTAAAATAGCCGTTGTATAGCCTAGTGTACATGTATGTATTTAATATACAAGAGTATATCAAGAGCCTAGGAGTTTGAGCAATTTCTCAAATAATCCATTCTCAATGGGTTTTTTTTAACCTACATACAAAGTATCAATAATTATTCATAATCCATTATATTAATACCAGAATGCAAACCTATGTTTTAACAACTTTCTTAAATCTTTATGCTGGCAATCATTAGAACATTTATCAAGACATCAATGTTTGTAACAACACAATCGATCCTTTTCATACCGGTATAACATGTACAATAAT